ACCTGGCCAAAGGGCCAAGTAACAGGAAAAGGCAGGACACTGCAGAGGCAGAGCAGCCATCGGCAGGAGACACCCAGCAGGGAGGGAGCAGCCACTTCCGGCCACAAGGAGTCAGTGGTGAATCCCATCACACTGCCCTCAACAACTTCCTGGCTGCTGAAAACCGAGGTTCCCACTCTCTTCCTCATTCCTCCTCTCTCACCCTCCAAGTATTTTTGGGGTCATCCATCTTCCTTCCTTCATCTTTCTCAGACCCTGTTACTTAATTGAGAAGCAGTGTGAAACTGAGTAGAGCACCCAGCCCCGAACCCATACATTTTTCCTCTACCAGTCTGGCAAAAGTTGGGGTTTATTTCAGAGGGAGTAACATTATCTCTTATTATCTTCTCCTGGTAATAAGCTCAGGTTAAGGGCTCATGTGGCTTTGTAGATAAATAATCTTGGCTATCATTGACCATAACTGTTTTTGAAGAGGATAGGATAATTCTTCTGTAAGTGTGCTCATTGCTCTCTGCAAATTTCAAAAAGGCAAATCTTTCAAGGATTCTTCCATCCCAAGGATCCTTATGTAAGGCCTTCATCTCCTTTTTTTAAAATCAAACCCAGTGTCTGCAGTTTTCTAGTAACAGAATGAAATGGAAGAGTGGAGGTGAGCAAGCAGGATAGGTGTCAATTTGAATAAGACAAAAAAGTAATGCTGATAAAAACTGCACTCCCCTTCTGCCTCTCAAAGTGTGTTGTCCATCCTTCCCAATAGTCTGCAATCTGAGTGTTATTTCTGGATCCATCACTCCTCGATTCTCAGGTGATGCTGTGGCATACGGTCCCTTTTTCATCTATATCCGGCCTAATTTGAGTCCATGTTTTTCTGAGATGGACCTTGCTCCAGTGATCTAAACCTTTGTAGCTTCAAGACTAGATTACTGAAATGCACTCTAACCAAGACTACTGTTGAATCAGACTCAAACTTCAGCTACTGCAAAATGTCTTGAGAGCGGAAGGCCATTTTGACTCCATAATACCAGTGCTTTGAGATCCACACTGGTTATCCGTTCATTTGACTACAACTGGAGATGTTAGTTATAATGTAAAATCTCTAAGTGGCCTTGGAGGACATGATTACCTGTGAGATCATCCCATTTTCCATGTCTCACAATAGGAGTCAAGGGCTGCTGAGTTCTGGTTTTTAATTTTCACAATCAGTGGCAATGTTATTAGATGTCCATATTTCTTGAACCTGCCTCCCTTGGAAATTCTTCATATTCCAAGATGGACAAGCTTCAGGAGACAATGTAAGAGCTATTTGTCTGGACAGGCTTTCGACTGATGTTTTATAAAAGGAAACTGAGAACAGTTGTTAATATGCAAGGGGCTTCATTATGTTCTATTGATTTGTAATTAAATGCAAAACTTGCAGATTCTTTGGATTGGGCATTTACGTAAACTGACATACACACAACATTTTTGACAAACTGAAAAATGGATTTATATTCATTAATTTGAATATGATTTCTAATTAATCAGGAAAGTTTCTCCGATTCATCATCATTTCCATGATGATAATGGGCAGACTCCGCCATGGGCTTACAGTCTGCTACAACTTGGCAATCGGCCCCACATGCCAGACAATATCATATACAGCTGACAGATCCACAAGAATAGCACCAACTTTCTTGCCCTTCTTGAAGCCATCTTCAATGTCTTGTGTTAGGCGAATAATTTGAACTCGGGTTGTCTGAACACAGCCTGAAAAAGGGCACTCGTGGTTCAATAACCTCGCTGATGTGCATCAGAATCAGGCTCTCCATAAACTTATATGTGACACAAATGAGAGTTATGTTGCTGATTATTCCCTCTTAGCCTTGGTCCGGTTTATCGTGGAAATAATGAACTGCAGTTTCATCTCGCAAGCTGGAGACAAAGTCAGCCAGCTTAGGCATCTCCATAGCAGACTCCCAGAAGTATCTGTTCTGGCTCCTCTCCTTTTCAACATATATAATTACAACCTACCAACAACTAAAGCCAATAAGTACATGTACACAGATGACATCTGTCTTGCGGATGTTAGTAATTATCTATAGCATATAGATGAGTAATTCGCCCAGGACATTAATTCTCTGGCTGTTTACCTTTGTCAGTGGAGTCTTAGATTAAGTGAGTGAGTCTAAGATGATAGCCACAACCTTCCATCTGAACAATCACCTGGCCAATCAACTCCTTACCGCCTATGTTGAGGATAAGTCCACCCCATTTCCAGCCAGTTGCCACTTATTTAGGAGTCAATCTGGACCACAGTCTAACACACCAATCTCATCTGGGACACAAAGAAAAAGATCACCTCCCATACTGCCTAAACCCAGAAACCTCCTGGGAAGTAGAGGCAAACGTTCTACAAAGCTCAGTCCTGGTGCTGATATTCACTCCAGCAAAATATTTTGCAGCAGTTTGGGGCAGAAGTAGACATACGAGTCTTGTTTATTCAGAGCAGAACACAACCACCCATATCATTAGTGGTTGCGTTAGCCACACATTAACATTAACTTCATGTGTGTTGGCTCATATAGCTCCCTAAAAGTTAAGACAAGATAACATCACCCTAAAACAGCATGGAGGGCTATGACAGATGAAAGCAATGTGCTGCACACAAGGCTGAAAATAATTCCAATATGTGCAAATAAGCAATGCATACTTCCACAAGAAGATCTGCCTGCCTCTAGGAGAAAACACCTACACCTGCAGTGACTACGACTGATTTCACAACATCCTTTTGCAATAGCCGTTCATCACTCATGTCTAACGCTGCCAAAGCTCAGCTGAACAATGGTATATCGAGCCGACAGCTGTGAGACAGGCATGCTGACTAATTTCAGAAGGCCTTATATAGATCCAACGGTTTGCGATCTAGGATGCAGATCCTAGACTAGGCTTAACAATCTGTGGCTTGGAACAGCCAGAATGGCTGCCACAACACAGAAATTTGGCCTAGTCTAGTCTCCACAATGTGACTACCAAGCAGCAATGTATATGGTCAAAAATGTGGTAGAGCAGCGCACCATTAGAAGACAGAAGGGTGAACAGCAATACATTGCTACCCTCAATGATGCAACAGTTAGATGGCCGAACAATCTAGACATTGACTTGTGATGCGTACGAAAGAAGTAGGAAAGTTTTTGCAATAATGTCAAAGAAGTGGTATAGTAGTTTTACAATTTAATTAGCACACAATAACTACATTCACTGACAGTAAAATTGTGCCAGGAGACATCCCATCCATCCACCACCTTAAAAGCATGGAAGAAACAAATTAAGGGGGGAAATCTGTGCACTCTTTTCCATCTTCATATTGCATATCCCACAGATAACATTCTAGTGCCCCATAAGACTTTCAATTCCATCTCCACGATACCCAAAAACAATCCGTATCCCAATTTCAAATGTGCACTTTAAAGCAAAACCTTAACAGTGATCTCATATGCTTTTATATCAATTATATCAATAGATCAGCACATATGATTTTCACACTTACCATGGATTCAGGAAGTTATTCTGCCTTAACACTTCTGGAGTCACTGCTAAGAGTTTGCATTAAAATACAAGTTTGATGAAGTTGGTGATTGTGATGATTGACACTATGATTTACATTTTATATTTTTAAAGTGGTCTTTTCATGGTGTGAATCACATGCAACCATACCATTCCCCCACACAGATCAGCAGCAAGGTTTGAAACCCCGACCTTCAAAAGTGCTAAATTAGACCCTTACTATTTGAGCTACAGGAGTAATTGCTAGTCCCTTTCCAGATCAGCCACTGGAGAAGGACTTGACACACATTCAGAGTGGATAACACAACTATTTTTATTATTCAGCAGTAGAATATTGGTAATCAGGAAACTAGATTCTATCCTATACTCAGGGAGAGGAGTGGGAGTAATATAGTGGTTAGAAATAGTACAGTAGTTTAGACACAATGAAATGCAGTATAGTGCAATGATAAGATTTGGGTTGGTCATGTTAGAAAGCTTGACTCTATGCCTGCAATGACTTTGCACAAGCTCTCTGCCAATTTAGTTAAAAATTGTAGGTGGGTGGGGGAATGTTCAGTAGCTCTTCCCTGTCTCCTAGACTGGGGTTCATGGCAGCCGTCAATAGTAAGGGTTGTAAATTGCACAAGAATTTAAACATCACTAAGAGTGGAGATTTAAATTCTCGGTCTCCTCCTTTCCAGCTCAGGGAACTTTTCCTAAACTATAGTACCATTGGATTAGGGAGTGTTTTGTTGTGTCTCTTATGTTTTTAACCACCCCCTGAAACAGGTGATGATGCTCACAGACTGGTAATAAAATTAAAATTTGGTAGGTTTATCATTTTCCATTATGGTTAAGAAGTTATGAAATACTCTATTACATAACACTGTTGACATATAACCGATTTTCAGGAAATCTGCACAAAAGAAGAGGAGGAAGATTCTAAACCAAGAGAGGGATGGGATGGGATGGGATGGGTTGGGAGGATTGAGCACAGGGTAGAATGGAGTCATGTGGCCAGTGAGATTGTGGTTTAATTGGTGTAGGGTTTGGGAGAAAATCGGATAAGAGATAGAAGGGGGAAGAAGAGGGGACTGGCATTAGGAGTGAACTGTTAAAAAGTGACAGACAGATAAATATTTGTTTTTACCTGCCAGGCCCTTTCATGCAATATATCCCAGTTTTTCAAGTGAGTGGGAAAATAAAGAGTGTGTTCCTTCTGTTTCCCAACCAATCTTTGTTCTTTTCAACCAAAACACTTCTCAGTGACCCCCCCTGAGCAAGGTGTCCCATTTTTTTTCCTTTGACAAGCATGATCAACCTACAAGGTGTGGAGGAGAGAGATGCAGATTGCTACCTGCAACTCCACTATTTATTCTGGGTACCAGACATCATTGCTCATGTGTCACAATGTATATATACCTAAATGGATCCAAAAATTTGTATGTGACCTGAGAACGATTTAATGAACTTACCCTGGGGAACATAAATGAATGGCCACAAGCTCCAGCCAACAAGCATATCTGCTGGATACACGAATTCCCATGATGTTGCTGGTCCCTCCTGGGTGATAATGATTGTTAAGGACTTTCAAAGCAAATAATACTCCTAAAAACAAAACAAAAAAAAACACACCAAAAAAGAAATAGTTGAGTTCAGATGATGTGAAAAACTCAACTGCAAAACAAACAAAAATGGCTGAAAACATCTGGGGTGTTTTGAGGAATCCCTGAAGTTAGGGACAAGTATACTCAGTGAACTGAGAAATGAAACTGGTCAAAAGCCAAAATCAATTATTGGGTCTGATTAGCCAAAGATATTACAGAAGGTTAAGTAGCCTGAGCTGGTAGAAAAATCTGAGCAGCAGCAAAGGATAGAAAGTGAACCTTTGGTCAGAAAATAAGTAGGAAGGGTTCTAGAAAGAACTGAGACACTGGCTTTTTGAATAAAGAGAGTGGAGTTTTTCCTCCACAGTCAGTATCTTTGAGGACTAATAATCTAAAAGCTAGTGGAGTCTCGGTCTGCCCTGTGCTGAAAGCACAAGACCCCAAGAGTGGCAATCTTAAGATTACAAGTATTCTTAATAAAAACATTTCTACAGTATTTGCTGCTGACTTTGATTTGCACAAACTGTAAACTTAAATATATAATAGAAAACGAAAATTACTCACACTACAATAACTGTAATTCGACAAAACATGTTGCCCATATACATCCCACTCTTGGTATGCACGCACTACATGCATTCAAGTTTAGATTCTTTTGGCCAGCAGTGTACGTTGTGGCTGTACCTCTGTCCTGCGAGTCCTCATGCCTCCACCCAGAAAATCTAAATTCAAGTGCATGCGCACACATGCACCAAGAGTGGAATATATACATATATATGAACAAGCACTCGAAGTAGTGATGCATATTACCTGTTCTAATCCATGTTCATTAGAGAAAATATTTCCATTTTCTATATTATAAAATATTACTATACAGAATCTATAAATGTGCACTTCAATAAATTAGCCTGTACCTCCTGCATGCCTTACCTGAAAAGCCTACAGCACAATTCATTTTGTATGAAGGGTCATTCAGCAGTCCTGCAAGTGCAAATTCCAACACCATGTACACAATACCAATCAGCACTGAAAATACTGCAATTATATACCCAAACAATACGCTTCCAAGCTTACGTTCCAACTTTATCCCCTTCCAAAGCAAGGAGACCATGTTAAAATATAAATGCCAATCATCTGCATGGTGAACTGGCGCAAGCAGCAAACGTTGCCAGTCTTTCTGGTAATAACCTTGGTCTACACTGATACACACTTTCAGCAGTGGTTTCAGAGGTTTCAAAAAAAGAAAAACGTTCAGTGCTAGGGTCCCAAGTGTTACAGGTGGAATGTTTTCAAGCCCAACTTGAAATACTTGAGAAAGTAGCAAGATTAGTCCAACATCTACTCCTCTCCGTCTTCGCTGCATAATCACTTCTTATTCTGAGAAATTATAGGATTGTTCCAATTTCCAGTCTATTGTTGGAATCCAGAAATACACAAGTTTAAGAAATTCTGAAAGAAAAATAAATCTATATTAATTGACAAACAATTATTTTATCAATAACTAATCAAACACACAAGGGGCATTTTCAAGCTCACTGGATGTTTTCTAAAAATACATGGACTATTCACAAATTTGGCAGAATTTTCTCAACTGTAACAGATGCAGACAGCACAGTTAAAGATAAAAATACAATTTACATTAACAAAGTTCAAGCACACAAGTTTACCATAAATACAGGATTATGTTCTGCATCCCTTTGTAAGGTCTGAGTTAAAGGACTTCGCACAGTAGATTCATAAAGGCATGAAAGAGAGAAAGGAACCTGCGAGAACAGCTGCAATTTGCATCTCACAGCCCTATGTAGGGTTGTAGTTGATCTATGCTGTTCATGAATGTGCTAGCCATGTTTCCTCGTCCACTCTGATCTACTCACAACTAACTTGTGACCCCAAACTGTCATGAAGGAGTTGGAAAGTTCCTCTCTATGGTCTCAGCATTCTGGCATTCCATTTTTAGTTTTCCATGGCCCTAGAGCAGGGGTTCTCAAATTGGGGGACGGGACCCCTCAGGGGGTCGTGAGGTTATTACATGGGGGGTCGTGAGCTCTCAACCTCCACCACAAACCCCATTTGCCTCCAGCATTTATAATGGTGTTTAATATATTAAAAAGTGTGTTTAATTTATTAGGGGGGGTCGCACTCAGAGGCTTGCTGTGTGAAAGGGGTCACCAGTAAACAAGTTTGAGACCCACTGCCCTAGAATGATTCTCATTCTATCTGAAATCCTCCCACTATCTTTTCTTCTAAAATTTTACAGATATTCAAGAGACACCAAGAATGGTAATCTAAATGACTATGTCAGGTTGCAATATAAAAAAAATTCTGCTCATATAGTTAGGTGGTTCCACATAGGAACTTACTTTAAAAACTGAGACTATTAATGTAGTTCTTGGAAAAACTTTGTAGAGTGGTGAAAATACATACTTCATATTTTCCTCAATACCATACTTCTTTAAGATATAGTAGAAATGAGCCGGGGTGAAAGTAACATTCAATACTTCCTGGTATGGGGGCCGGCTCTGGCCCCTGGAAGGGGCGGGGCCTCAGACAGAAGGGGCGGGGCTGGGGATCAGCATCCCCCAGCCAGCCCGTCTGTGCTGCCTGGTCCACACCGCCCGGGGCTCCAGAGGCAATTTAAAGGGCCCGGGGCACTGGCCGCAGCCCCAGGCCCTTTTAAATTGCCAGCCCCGGGGCAGCTGCTCCTTTTGCCTCTCCCCCACCCTGGCGGCAGCCCAAGGGCACAAAAGGGGCAGTGACGTTAAAGCGCTTTAATGTCGGCTGAGTGCGGGCTGGTACCGGCGGCCACTTTTTACCGGTACGCCGTACCAGCTTACTTTCACCCCTGAAATGAGCACAAAAGAAAGAACAGTAGCACAAACAACTAGAAATAAAAATTCCACGTAAGTATACTGAATGGGAGAGATTCTTGCTCCCTCTCTGCCCCATTTATGTCAAGTAAAATGATTTAAGAGATGTGAAGAGGCTCTAAAAGCCCTGGGTATGGCTGGGGGCAAAGAAGGAGGAGAATTCTTCAAGCATGGGAAACTGAGGAAGACAGTCACAGACTGTTCTTTGAGGACTTTTGTAAGCCCTGGTGTATGTGTAGCGCTGCAGAGATTCTGGAAAGCAGAGCAGTCTATAGGCAGGTGGGGACAGGCTGTTACAATTCAGACAACTCCTCACGACTGTCTAAATTACACTGGGGGGGGGCACCCCAGAATCAAGAGGGCACAAGAGCGGTTTAAAGCCATCCTTTTCCCCCCACCTCCTGGTGTGTGTGTTCTGTCCAGCACCTCTAAGAGATGCAGCACAGAAATTCACCCAATATATGTATTAATCTTACAGAACCAGGAACAAAGATCGAATTCATCACAGTCAACCTTATCTTTCAAAATTACACCATGAAATCATTTCCATGCTTCCCAAAGTTCTTATCTTAACGTAACAATACTCAAGACATTTTCCAGATAAAATCCATTATTTTAGAAAAATGAATATTTATATACGATATAAAAGTAGAGTGGCTTATTTTGGTTTAGCTTAAGTCTGTATTTCACAGTTCTGCATTATTAGAACTGGGAGCCTTAAAAACCATTGCGATTGGAAGGAATTCCAGCTTCCTAATGGGACCTGGCACTCGCTAATACTCTTGGAATTGCCAGAGATAAGCCCTGTTTTAAATGTAATATTTTTATTTTCAAAGAAGTTATCTGAGGTCATTTGAGAGTTTATGGCTCCCTCTGCTCCCTATATATTTGGATTCATGGTGTAGTGACCTCATGCAATAACCACAGTATTATCATTAAACCATTTTAGTGTTTGTGGTTCTAGATTAGACATTTTACAAGACATATTAAACATTTTTCCCCTCATGGAATCACTAAATAGAAGAGTTAAAGCTGCTTCAGTTTTTTAACAATCCATTTCTTACCTTAATATGTTTGGATTTCTCTTAAATGCAATCTCAACTTTGAATTTCCTGGGTATATAACACTTGGGCCTAGAGATAAGTACAACCTTACTTTTTTTTAAAACTCAGACGTTACTAATACATACTCTCACCTTTGCATAGATTTTTGCCTGGGATTTACTGAATAGTTTTAAATTATTAAAATATCATACATGAACACAATACAAGAAACCCAAAGAGAAAGAAACCATGTACTAATTTCTAACAATCTGAAGATATGTATTATGAACTTTAATTTTTTTTTTTTTTTTAAGTTTAACTTTTACCGGCAGATTCACTGGTACACTAGAGCATCCAGATTCTACCAGACAGTTAAACTGGGTTTACATCACAAAAGGAGCTTAAAGCAACCAAAGTGTACTGGGTGAACCAGGCTCTTATTTTGCAATTGACTTATTGGTTTACATTAGATGGCTGTGTTAGTGTCACTACATGAAAGAGACACAGGGAGAACCCAGTCCCTGAGTCCCAATGTCCATGTGCTTTAAGGGCTCCCCCTGAATTTCTGCTTAAGTTCCACTGGTAGTGCTGCCTAAGTGCAGTGGGACTGAGGTAGCAGCACTATGGAGAGTCTGTCAAGCACTGATGCTCTAGCTAGCATGCAGCGAAAAAAATAAAATAAAAAAATCTTTAAACAGTGGTAGCTGAGCCAAGTAATCTAACCAATGAGAACTTTTGACACAGGCCCAATCTCCCTCTGCCACTGAGTCATTACAACCAACAGAATCATTGCATGCAAAATAGCTTCAGAAAAGTTATAGGGATTAGTTACTAGAGGCATCACAATGGCTCATTTAATAGTTATCGGAGACGTGACCTGAGCCTGCCTGTAGCCTGTCATAGATGCAATCATCAATAATTTGACTTAATTGCAACCTAATTTCTTCAAATATAGTCTATGAACAAGATTTCAATTAACTACATGACAAATTTGAAGTGTCTGCATTATTCCCTTGATAACGTCATTCAGGACAGTGAAGTACCCTTACCTATGCTAGCAAAAAGTCCACAAAGACCCAGATCAATAATGTCACAGTAACACATGCACCTGCTCCTCTGTCCCCTTTCTGGTGTCTCTGCGTGCACTTCTCTCAGGTGTTATGCCTTGTACCTTTACCTCTCTGGAGTTGGAATGCTACTTTTAGACCAGGCCATGGGCTGCAGTACCCTACGTATCAACCGTGCTTATCCAAGAGGTCTGACTGGTTTCAGCACTTGCAATTCTTCTCTTTGGGAATCTGTAACTAGTGGTGAATATAGTGACCAAACAGTCTTTTTAAACCCAAATATTGTTTACTTTAACAGTAGGCAAAAAGCAGAAGACATAAAAGGCTTTCAAAACAACAACAAAATTTATAAAACTCTTACCTAAAGTCTTACTATCCTAAATGGTAACCCACGCAACCCTGACTTCTTCAGACATCCCCAAGGGGTGCCTGTGTGTCAGTCTAGTTCCTGTTGAACAACTCCTGCTGAACAGTCAACCCCTTTTGAGACAGAGTACCTTTTAAAACCTACCATAGTTCTTTTGATCTTCAGGTTCCCAGACCGTGGCCCAGGTCATCAAAACCAGTTTTGTAAATTGGCTGGAGTAAGGAGTTAGAATCTTAAAAGTTAATAGTTTGGGCAAAGTGTTTTAAATGTTAAGTGTTAGCTGAGAAGTGGCTTATCTTGAGCCATTCTTCTTCTCTTCCTACTTGTTCTCCATTAAACTAAACCAATATATTCATACAGTTAACACGCTCAATTACCAGGTCAATACATACTACTCATAATTTATTGCAGAGCATGTCCCTCACAGACGTTTACAGTAATTTCTCCAAGAACATAATATAAGAACGGCCATACTGGGTAAGACCAAAGGTTCCTCTAGCCCAGTATCCTGTCTTCTGACAGTGGCCAATGCCAGGTGCCCCAGAGGGAATGAACAGAACAGGTAATCATCAAGTGATCCATCCTTGGCACCCATTCCCCGCTTCTGGCAAACAGAGGTTAGGGACACTATTGATGGACCTATCCTCCATGAATTTATCTAATTCTTTTTTGAATCCTGTTATAGTCTTGGCCGTCACAACATCCTTTGGCAAGGAGTTCCACAAGTTGACTGTGTGTTGTGTGAAGAAATACTTCCTTTTGTTTGTTTTAAACCTGCTGCCTATTGATTTCATTTGGTGACCCCAAGTTCTTGCGTTATGATAAGGAGCAAATAACACTTCCTTATTTACTTTCTCCACACCAGTCATCATTTTATAGACCTCAATCATCTTCCTGTCCGTCCCCCGCCCCGCCCAGTCATCTCTTTTCCAAGCTAAAAAGTCCCAGTTTTTTAATTGCTACTCATACGGAAGCTGTTCAATACCCCTAAACATTTTTGTTGCCCTTTTCTGAACCTTTTCCAACACATCTTTTTTGAAATGGGGAGACTACATCTGCATGGAATATTCAAGATGTGCATGGATTTATATAGAGGCAA